TTGACAAAGCGGAGCTTAATTGTTCCTTGACTAAATCGGCGAAACACTTCAATCCTTCATCATATATATATATATATATATATTCCTTATACTTTACGTGTAAGTTATTATTTTCATTGCTTTTTGAATGTGTTCACAAGTTCTTCCGTACACTTTTATTCAGTTGAAAGCGCATTTAATAGTGCGAATAAAGGCCGAATCAGGAACCCACACATTCCCATCTTTTAACGTTCTAATAGTTTGCGAAAGCGCAAACCCGTTCTTAAGCTAAGTAACCCCTGGCTAATTTTTCAAAGCACAAGAAGCTGGAAGCACTAGCGGCTTTCTCTGCTGGTTGGAACCTGCGTTTTTCATACCCAACAGTTAAGGTTTCCACAAAAGCCTTAAAAAATGTTTTTTTAGGAAACTGGAGTTTTTGGTACAAACATCCGCCAAACTTATTTTGCAATTGATGCTAAGCGTCATTATGTTAATTGGCAATCCTTGTAAATTTACCGTCCAAGAATACGCAATTTGTGAGAGTAAGAGAGAGGGGGAGAGAGAGGTAATTGTATTTCTTTGGAAAGAGTATAATTACAAATTATCCAGCAAAAAATGTTTCGTAATCACCAGGGCTGGGATATAAGTAAACGCATACTGAATATTTCTAACAAAAAGCGTAAGAACTGTTGGAGTTTTCAGTGTCATTCCACGTCAGCAATTTTTCCGCGTTTGGTTTGAATTGATAAAAGTTATGGTGCGATGAATTCCAGCCTCTACCTGATCCGTCATGTCATGTGATCGACATTCTACGTCATGCACGTAAAAAGCCACACTGGGTTGCATCTTACCCTCTTGCGTTGACCACATTAGAGTGGAGGGAACTGAAAACTAAAATGAACGCCCATATGACAGGTCAATGGTAGAGGGTAACTGGAAAATTATTGACAAAAACTTTCTCAACATGGCGCAATTATATATATGGCTGAACCACAACCGAAAATAGCAATCATCAGCTAGGCCAGCTCATCCGGTCTCCCTGCAAGTGTGAAACCGGATGGACGTACGAGCGCAAACAGGATTCCCGGCCTGGGACGACAGCTTCGGTCGATGACAGTTGCACAAGCGCGGACACCGGAGGCCGACAGGAGACCCCTTGACTGAAGTTATTACGCTTCACAGGGCACGATGATTAAGCCTCCCTTCCTAACCCCTCTTCTCTGCATTGGCTTAACCTCTATTGACTATAACTGCCAT